GACCCCGCGGCCCCCAACGGTTTCGCCACCAGTCGGGAGACCGCCTACCCTCGTCCCTTGGCTCATGCCCTTGCGCAGTGCTTCGCGAGTGCCCTTCCCACTGTCGAGCCGCCGGGCCTCCAGCTTCCGGCGTTACGCAGCCTGGCTGGACTTCAACCAAAAGCTAGCAAGGTGCCAGCCTTGGTCCCGGAGTACAAGACCACTTGCGTGGTCCGGGGGCCTGCCGCCAGCCTGGTCCCGCCTTGCCAACCCATGCAACGCCTCGAGCAGGCTTGGCCGGTGCCTGCGGATTGTCAATGCAGCTTGAAGGTCATACCTCCCTATGCTCAGTTGCTGCGTCTCAGTCCGGTTAAAATGGGAAAGCAGGATGAGGAAACTCGTAGGCATGTTGAATTGGCGTGGGGCATTCCGTGGTCGCCAAGTGAATTCATTCAGTGTGCTTGCAAAGCTGTCCACCCTGTGGCCCAAGAAGCACAATTACCCAGCGAACTTCTTCAAGCCGTCGAAGTGAATTGCAATGCGACGACAGCGTCGGCCCTTGAAGGGAAGCGCACAGCTTGGTTTGAAAAATGGTTCAAACGGTGCTTGGAACTCAGGACAGACGAATGCAAACTCAAGGATGGCATGCATCCCGACGTCCGAGGCATCCTTGAACCTAAAAACCTTCTTGTCTGGCGCGAAATCTTAGATGACCTCAACTACCCTGACAAAACTGTCATCGAGGAGGTGATTTCAGGGACCGTGTTGACTGGTGAAGTTCCGAGTACTGGGCTATTCAACCCTGTTTTCAAACCCGCGGCAATGTCCGAGGACTTGTTGCGAGACACCGCCGATGAGGGCAGGCACAGTGTCTTCCGGAGTGTTAAGTCGCAGGGTGATTTGCTTGACCAAGAAGTAAAGAAGCAAACCCTTGAAGAACTACAGAAAGGTTGGTTAGAAGGGCCCTTTGATCCGTCTGAGCTGCCTAACGGCTCAGTAGTTTCTCGCCGGTTCGGGATCCAGCAAGGGTCAAAGGTACGTCTGATAGACGACCTCAGTGCATCGCACGTCAACTCGTGTGTCCAAACAAATGAGTCTCCAAAGCCCCATTCCACCGACGTTCTTGCTGCACTTGCCATTCAGCTCATGAGGTCCACCAATGAGCCACTCTTGGGTCGTACCCATGATTTGAAAGCAGCATATCGACAGCTGGCGGTGTCCCAGAGTTCCGCTTGGTGCTCGTACGTTTGCATCTGGGACCATGAGCGTGCCGCCCCCGTGTGCTTCAGGCTCAAAGCGTTGCCTTTCGGCGCGTGCAGAAGCGTTTATTCGTTTCTGCGCGTAGTGCATAGCATCTGGTTCATAGGGACTGTTGGGTTAAGCCTCCCTTGGGTTTGCTATTTCGATGACTTCATCACGATTTGTTCGGGCAGCCTCGCACACAGCACTGACGCTACCATCAAGCGCTTATTCAAGCTCCTGGGCTGGACACTGTCCAGTGACGGAAAGAAGGACTTGCCGTTCAGGAGGTCTTTCGAAGCTCTTGGCATCGTCGTCGATTTAGAGGAGAGCGCGAACAAAGTTGTGAAGTTTGCAAACACCCCATCCAGGGTGAGCGAACTCTGTGGGTCCATTGGCGACATACTCGACGCTGGTTCCCTCAAACAGCCTCTGGCCTTGAGGTTGAGGGGACGCATGCAGTTTGCTGACAGTCAATTGTTTGGAAGGTCCGCTAGGATGTGCCTTAGACAAGTCACCAAGCACGCCTATAGTGATGTGTCCGATACCTTGTGTGAGGATTGCGTTTTCGCTCTGGACAGGTTCAGGAAGATGCTTCTGGAGCACAAACCCAGAGTCTTGAACGGATATTTGCGGGAAAAATTCGTCATCTTCACGGACGCCTGCTTCGACCCAGAGGCATCGGACTGGGCGTGTGGTATTGGTGGCCTGCTGTTCTCTGACAGAGGTAAACTCCTAGGTGCCTTTTCCGAGCAACTTGAGCGCTGGCAGATTGAAGCATTGACCGAGGGCTTTCGTAAGACGGTCATTTTTGAAGCTGAACTTTTGGCAGTTATCGTTTCGCAGCTTGTATGGGGACACGTCATCAGACATGCACCTGTGCTGTGGTTCGTTGATAACAATGCCTCCCGCGACATCGCGATTTCAGGCTGCACGAGGTCTGACAATGCACAAGCGCTTCTAAATGTCTTGCTGGAGAGCGAGGAGCAGTTCGATGTCAAAGCATGGTACGCCAGGGTTCCTTCTCCGTCTAACCCTGCTGACCATCCCTCTCGAACAAAGCTGGAGTCCTACGTTCATGGCAACACTTTGGTTGGTGCAGTTGACGTCCGTCAAACCCTTAAGGCTGTTTTCGAAAACTTCTTAAGGAAAAAGGTAAAAAGGTGAAAGTCGGATAATGTGGGGAGTCAGTGCTGGGTTCGTATTGCAACTTTGCATGAGGTGCCAAGTAGATCTACACAGGCTTTCCAAGGCAGAAGGTTTGTCCTTGCGTGGCATGAGGCCCGCATGTGCATGCTTGCCCACGCTTCCACGTGAAAAAAAGGAATGTCCGAGTGAGTGCGTTACTGTAAGCGTTGCGCTCTCTGAACCACACCAAGTGTAGGCTCATGTGTCTTTGTTCTTTGTTGGCTTAAAGGTAAGCTTGAGCGGAGCACGAAGCTTGCTGTCAACTTGTTGATAGCGCCTTCGTGAGGAGCGAACGCTTAGGTTGCCTGCAACCGTGCCTTTAAGAAAAACAAAAAGAGTTTTCACAGTGCTTTCAAAATTTTCTGCATGCCCATCTTTCATGTTCTCTCTGCATGTCACCTTGACAGCTTGTATGCAGTCTTCATGCCCGGTAACAGTGGCTGACAGCTGAGAGATGCAGAAAATTTTCTTTGCCCGCCCGCCCATCCCAGTGGGTGTGGCCGATCCGTGCCTGACGGATCCCGCCTGTGGATCTTCTTCTGCCTCATCCGGGGGAGTCAGTGCTGGGTTCGTATTGCAACTTTGCATGAGGTGCCAAGTAGATCTACACAGGCTTTCCAAGGCAGAAGGTTTGTCCTTGCGTGGCATGAGGCCCGCATGTGCATGCTTGCCCACGCTTCCACGTGAAAAAAAAGGAATGTCCGAGTGAGTGCGTTACTGTAAGCGTTGCGCTCTCTGAACCACACCAAGTGTAGGCTCATGTGTCTTTGTTCTTTGTTGGCTTAAAGGTAAGCTTGAGCGGAGCACGAAGTCGACTTTCCAGTCACGGAAGCTCCTGGCCTCCGCGCCGGCGCACTGCAGTAGCAGAGTAGCAGCAGCAGTAGCAGTAGCAGTCGCAGAGTAGCTGTAGCAGTCGCAGAGTAGCAGTAGTAGAAGCTTATGTTGTTGAAATTTTTTTGAGTGCAAAACTGTTTTTGATTTGGTTTGCGTATTTTTGCATTTTTTCTGACCTCTTTTCTGGATCTTTGGTTTCTGATTTTGCTTTTGTATGTTTTCTGAAGATTTGTTGTTCTATAGTGTTGTGAATCGTTTGACCCTTGCGGCTTCTATATATATATTTGTGAAGAACGAAGTGAACGTTACACCTTAATTGACCATTCACAGGCTAACCTCAAAGTGGGGCCGTTCCACCGTTCAGTCATCATCAGGTTTAGTTCTTCCTCAAAGTCCATGGATTCACTACTTTCTAGGAGTTTACCTTCCGGACACTTAGCTCTCCAGAACTCCCTTATTGTATTATTACGGGCTTTAAGAAGAGATAAGTACTAGCCCGTGAACATAACATTATTACTGCGGCCCGTGCGTTAACTTACTGCCTTCGTAATAATATTATGTACGGGCCAGTTAAATATACTAATTAGGCCCGTTATTTTAATATTAATGCCGTGAGCTATAATTCTATTCATAATGTGCTCACGGGGTAATAAGAAGAGAATAATAATGTGAAGAGAGCAAAAAGCATATTAAATTAGCATATTTTATAAGGAACGCATGAAAATATGCTATTTAATTGGGCTTTTTGTGAACGAAACCCGTGTATTTTTACTGGATTCTTCATTCTAATTCTCTTATTTTGCTTGTTTAATTGAGTTATAAGGAGTGAAGATATGAATGACGCATGAACTCAATTGAACAACAAGCAAAATTAGGAAAGGAATGAAGAAAGAAGAAAAATAGAGAAAATAATAATGCACGCCAAATAGTAAGTCTTTTTATGAGGCGTGCACTACGTTCTCTTCGTTCATTCTATTTCATTGTGTTCTCGCTTCACTTCGTTCATTGAAACACCATTGAAATAGAATTCTCTTCGTAATATTAACCCGGCTTTATAAGGACTAGAAGGACGCATGAAAGCCGGGGTTTGACGCTTGACGCTGGGCGGCTTCTAGAGACCAGATACTTTGTTGTACTGGAGCTAGAGATGTGGCTGCAGTTGGCGGGTCAAGTGTTCCGCTAGTGTGACGGCGTCGTGCGGCGTGTAAACGTCCAACCGCTCTGCGTGCTGCAGAGAGTTGTCTGCGCCCTCTGGAAAGTACCAAAAATGACGGTTTGAAACGCAAAAAAAAACGACGGTTTTAGACCGCGACCACGAGCAAGAAGCCAATTCCAGGCCACATGGTCGATGCCGGCAGTGAAGGTCTTCTGCTTAAGGAACAAGGTGTGGAAGCGGAGAGGCAGCTCATTGACAACAGCAACAGCCTGGAGCACATCCGTGCGTAAATTTTTATCAAAGCGCTGCACTTCCTTCTACAGTGCGACGTTGATCCAAGCCAGGGCCACTATGCAATTGTCAATTCCAAAGCTTTTTGCAAAGCACCAACCGGACCGAAGGAGAATGCAAGCGTAGAGGTTGAAAGTGTCAGAACTTGAGGCCGAAAAATTTCCTGAAGAAGGTTGTACGGGCGGTTGGAGGGAACAATTGGAAATCGCATGAGACTCTTAAGACTCTAGCTCCTCGGACTCAGGATGAGAGTTCTTGGAGGTTGGGGCTGAAGAGATCTCCCTCAAGAAGTCCATGGAACCTGAAATCGAAAATGCGGCAAGCGGCCCTTGCTGGAAAAGATCGCGTCGTCGATCGGATCGGTTGGGTTGACATGGGCGTTGTCACTGAACTCCGAAAGGGTTTTGATTTTGTTGGCCATGCCAGGCACGCGGGAGTCTTTGCGCAGGAGCCGAGGCCCCCAAAGCTATCCAAGGGGGAATCAGCACAGCTCGATGAGAGGCACGGCAAGGGTTGGTTACCTACGCATAGGCCTGGGGTTGCACAGACGTCGGCTGCAGGCCGAAAGCTGCGACCCGTGGATGACTTCACGGAGAATAAGGTAAACCTTGCTTTTGGTTCTATGGACAAGCTTGATCTGAATGCCCTTGATGAACTCATTTGCATATGCCGCATTTGGACAAGGGCGATGTGTGACGGGCCCGCCTTTGAGCTCGTGCTTTCTTCGGGTCATGTGCTTAAAGGCAGTGTTCATCCTGGTTGGAAGAAGGTTGGCTGTGAGCCCCTTTTGACGACGCTGTGTCCTGGACACCAGAGAGGTCGGGAGAACTCCGTTGTGGTATCTTGAGGTCACATGCATCACGAGCACTTAGATCCGGCACTTTCCAAAAACAGAACGTTCTTTAAACTCTGATTTTCTTTTGCTTCATGTGCTTCATTGTTGGAAACACGACATCACTAACCCTACGGCAAAACGCTCCGGTGAGAAAGTGTCCAGCACTCAAAAGCCGAAGATGCCAATCATTCCAGCCTTGCCAGCAAACCTCATGAAGCTTGATATCTGAAACGTCACGCCCAGCAGAAGAACACTGTATTGTCCATTGAGTCATCTTTTCGGACAGCTTCGCTACCATAGTACTCCGAGCTGGTCTGAAAGTCAGAAGGAAGCTGGAGAGAATGTTCAGGTTTTCCATGGACCTAGTCTCTTCAAAGCTTCGGGTTCGTTTGTTGGGAGTCCAACCGGGACCGCGAGAGGATTGATCTAGTAGAATTGGTGTAATGTTTGCAAAAAGTCATTGTGGTTCACAAACCGCGTGTGCTTCAGTTAAGCCCGAGTCTTCGCCGATTGCATCTTCAACGATTACAAGCATTACGTGGGAAACTTCCAGAAGTATGCTTGGTGTACTGGTGCTCGAAGAAGACCTTTCAGCCGCAATTGAGTTCTGTGAGTTCTGTGAGTTTGTTGAGGGAATGATGGGCAGCCCAAGGTCTCACCGTTGATGCGAGTTGAAGTGAGCACATGAGGGTGTGCTCATTCGATTTCTCAAAAGACAACCCCATCCAAGAGCATGTGTGTGTGTGTGTGTGTGTGTGAGCGATTGTGTTTGTGGATCAGAGGAGTGTTCGACCCGTTTATCCATGTTGGCATTTTGTGCCTTTCAATTGATATATTCGGTTTGGTGAGTCTGACACACACACTGCATATAATTATTTTCCATATTGGGAATATTGTCTCTGGAACGTTTTGAGTGTTGGTACCAATTTGGGAAGTTGAGCGTTTCGCCAATTCGCCAATACTTTCGAAACAATATATATGGCATGTTTTCGCTTGGACATATTCTGCCATATCTACTTGGGAAGGTTCCCTTGACTTGGAAGCATCCTTTTTCGGGCCCACCCTTTGCTATTATCTGGATACGTGTCTTTACGTGGCCGTAGTCGCATGCTTCGTCACGGACCCATGGCTGCCGTTGTCACGATCGCAGCTTGCTTTGCTCAAAGAAGGGCGCATTATGCCAAGCTTCCGTTTGTGTGCAGTCCACACGCTCGCTGCTTTGAGTTTCTTAACCATGCCGCCACGGCGCTATGCTTGCGCTGAGAGGATGCCCGAGAAAGCGTCGCATGCTTTCACGGCCAAAATGTGCGCAGGTTGGGTTCGAACATTTTCTATGCAAGTGCGTTTCAGCAGGTTCGCTGCCGTGACAACTTGAAACCGCTGTCAGGCAGCCGCTATATGGAAAGCCAGCGACCAGACGCATTGTTTGTGGACCCTTTGGCATCAAAGCTGGCTGGGCCACAGGGTTTGGCACAACCCATGGGAGATTGGATCATGGTGCCTCGTACGAGGCAGCGGAAAAGCTCAGCAGGGCTTGGCGAAGCAAATCCATGCCATGTTCAGTCTTTGAAAGTAGCATCAACCATCATCCAACGAATATTCCGCAATAATTCAACAACCGCGTAACCATTATTTCAAGGCGAAATGAACCCTGGCCGCACAAGCCACCCAAATCATCCAAGCCTCTGGCACAGGTTTGGGGATGATTTTGTAGTGCAACATTACATGGGCGGTACTCGGCAACTGGTCATGTTGGGTGCTGGCATGGATGCACGTGCATATCGCCTGCGATTGCCAGACCTCAAAGTCTTTGAGGCGCATCTGTTAACACCATCTTGTCAAAGACAAACTTAGTGGTAACCCACGGTAGCCTGGGGTGTCAAATGGTGGGCAGAGAGACAAGAGTGTTTCAGATAAACTATTGCTTTGCAAACTCGAGTGCCTTGCAAAATTTGCAAAAGGTTTGTTGACCTGTTTGACCTACGCATGCGAGACCCTGAAGGTGGATCTTCCAATTCTCCTTCAAGACAAGGAGCCACTCTTGGAAGGGGAGTCCCTCACCGTGCAGTCTCGGACGGTGGTGCCCACCGACTTTTCCTCAGGGGAGGACTGGAGCTGGAAGTTGCAAAACACAGACTTTGATCCGACGCAGCCCACGGTGTGGCTGCTGGAAGGTCTCATGATGTGCCCCCCCCCTCTTCCTGCTTTTGCTTGCCAACGCATGCATTCTTATGACTTCTCTGTCTTATGCTCGCGGGCATGGAGTTCGGCGTGTTGTTTTTTGATTCCAGTTTTGGGAAGTATTCTCAGATTTTGCAGTTGACCTGGAGGTACTTGACAGACACCGAAGCGGCCCAAACTTTGCGGCGCATTGGGGGTTTGTCGGCACCACGTTCTTCTCTGTTCTTTGATGCCATCTCAGCAAGCTACGTGCATCAGCGTATTGTGCCTTGTCGCGTCTGCTTGTTCTTGCCCGGATTCGAGGCTCTAAATCGCAAATACAAAGAAGGTGTGTCAAAGTCAATTGTTTTTTTCTGCAAAGTTGAATCGGTTGGTTTAACTAGCCAACACGTCAGATGGGTTCGTGTACTTATTTTGAGTGTGTGACGTGCCCTGGTCAATTGCAAATCGCATCGCTGTTGGCTCAGGTAGTGGGCGGTGCACCCTTTCTGGGTGGTTCTGACCACTATGGTGCTTTGCTCCAGGATTTGGCATCTTTCAGCCGAACGCAGGCAGGGGGACTGTGCGAAAGTTAGAGCAGCCGAAGTATCAACGCTTAGGACAAGATGTTCTTTAAGGCGGGGATGCTGTGGATGTTGGATGTAGATGTTAGATGTCAAAGAGATTAGCGGCACTTATGGCATGCCTCATGTTAAGACATCATTAGAGATCCTTTCTTTTCACGGGGATCAATGGCGCATGGCGTGCACTGAAGGTTTGGGACTTCAGCAGCTTGCGAATAGATCGCCGGAACCGCCGACTGTCGAAGGACTGGGAAGACGTTTTCACATGACAGCAAGGCAAGGCAGGTGGAAAGGCAGTTGGGTTGGCAGAGGTTCCAACACGTTCGAACAAACGAACTTTCTGGAGATCCTTTTCCGCACGACCATATTGAAGGGTGGCTGTGATACCTAAACGCCGAGAATGGCGTCTGTTTGCATGCAAGCTCCCAAGGGACACCCCCAAAAAAACACCAAAGGACCGAGATCTCAAGAGACCCCAATGGCTTTGATTTTGAGGACTGGGCTCGAAGCTTGGAGCCAACGGATCTCTATGGTAGAAATCTGGTGCTTTTCGTGGAGAGCCAGAAGATCTGATCCACCGCAAGGCGGAGGTACGCCAAAATGGTTTAGGGTTTCGGGTGTAGGGGGTTTCCCTGTCAGCCCTGAAGACTGGAAACTAGCTGCAAAGCTGGAAGGTTGGCAGGCAAAGAGCAGATGGGCTAGATGAGGGGTAGATGAGCGGTAGATGCTGCCAAAACTTGCATCCTCTCCAGAGAGCTCACCTTAACCGGATGAGCAACAAAAGTCACTGGGGATCAATGTGAAGATATGGGAAAATTTTTTTCGTTACGTGCGGTCTTCGAACTGAAAGGGCAGCTTCTTGAAACATCGACTGTCCCTTCTTTCCCGGAGCTGCGTTGCATCCGGGTGTTTTGCGGCGATCGCAATGATGCGACGTTCTCTCAGTGCCGCCGTGCTCTCGGTGAAGGCCGTCCGACCAGCGCGAATCAACACAACGCCCTATGTGTCATGCTGGTGCATGGCATCTCTTTGCCTATGTGTAGCTCTGCTTCTGCCTGCACACCGGCCTCAGCTTGCAGAAGCCATCGTATCTCGTGCTGTGTCCAGTTTAGACAGGAAGCACATGATGCTAGCAAAAGCCCAAACATCTGCAACTTTAACCATGTGTAATAACAGTTGAATAACATGTAACTGGATAGCTGCGACTGAGAATCTCTGGGTGGCCCTGGGAGGTGAGACAAGCACGCGTACAACAAGGCCCTTTCATGTTGGCTCGGAGAAGATAGGTGTACCCAGGTGTACCCTACCCCTTAAGCCCTAAGCCCTAAACCCATGCCGCCCTCAGATCCATCGGATCGTTGCAGGGTATCCTGGAATAATTTTGTCGGAGCCTTCGCCAGTGTGGGTTTGCAGAATTTGTATAGCTTGTGTATGCTTGCGCATGGCCAACTGCCAAGTGCTTGTGTACCTGAATATTATGCAATATCTGCTTCAACGATGAAGCTAGATTCCCACAAGACTTCCCGAACTTTTCAGCCACGGCTTCGTTGGCTCCGCATTTTCTCGTCCAGTCTAGCGTAGACCGGCCATCCGCTTGACGCAAGAAGCAGGAACCAGAGCCTTCAACTTCAGATTTCGGGATGTGCAGCATGGCTTTGGTGCCCACAGGCTTCAAACATAGGTGTTTGGCTGACCAGGACTTCCCGGTAGCCATCGGATGTCGGCTCTAGCAATTTCCTCAAATTGCAGTCCCCTTCGCACCATGAAGTGACCCATTGCATTTCGAGGCACGCGATGGACGCACGTGGATGGGTCTTTCTTCTGGCTTGCCGATGCGTTCGTGCTTTGACTAGTCAGCCTCGGTTGATGAGAGTTGACGTGTGCAACTTTCAACGCGACTCTGTGGCGTACAGCTCGTTCCAGAAGGCTCGGCAAAGCGGTGGTTCCCGGCTCATTGGCACTTGGGAGAACGTCGTCACTTCATTTGCCCCCGAAGTCGTCATCTCGCCAGCTCACCCTTCAAAAGCAAATTGGCATTTTTCTTGGCTCCAGACTGTGCACTGGGACTACGTGTCTTACGTCTTGCACACACAGGGGAGCTTCGATGTCGATGCTGAGACTGTGCTCCTGTCCAACATGATACTTGCATTCACAAAGCTTGCTGTCATGGTTGGGCATGAGACTTGGGGAGTGCCGGGCAGCATGGGCCAGGACATGGTTGAGGAGTTCACGAATGAGGCTTCCTCAGTTGTGATGGAGTCCGTGAGGTGGCTCGATGCTGCGGCCTCGCAATTTTTTGAGTCTCGTATGGGAGACAAGACGGTCAGCATCTTCGGAATGCTGCAGTGGTTGAGCACATTGTTCACTTTCCAGCGGCGTCGAGACATGAAACAGCTTGGAGGTGTACGGCATCCTTGCAGGACCGCAAAAAGGCCAGCCGTGAACAGCACTGCAAAGGGAGGCTTGTGGCACGTGCTCCTGGGAGACTTACTAACGTGCTTGAAGAGTCGACAGCTGATCAGAGATGGCAAAGTATCGAGGCCGCTGGCGTGGGTCCTGGATCTGGGCCGGCGCTACTGGGCACCGCTCCACGTGGCCATGGCCGAGGCGGCCGGAACGGAGCCTTACCTGCTTCCCTTTCCCAGCGCCCTGCAGCCACGGCCGCCAGCGCACCGAGATCCTCGGCGCTTGCCGCTGGCGGAGCTGTGCGCCACCGGGAGGCAGCAACGCCAGCTTCAAAGGTCCGCTGTCGGAGGAGTGCCACTGCCAACGGAGAGCCCGATGGTCTCTGCCTACCAGCGTGATGGCACCCGCGTTACTGTGGTTACAGTAGCTACGGGCTTGCCGAACAGCGCTGATTCTTCGAGGCCCTCGTCAGATCGGTTGGCGTACCTTCTCGACTTCCTGATTTACGTGGAGAAGCCTCGTGGTGAATGCATCCGTCGGGGTCGCTGTGGTGACAAGAATCGGACGGTCTACACTTGCGGTCCGCACGCAGCCCTCTTACCTGAAGTGTCCCTGAGAAAGTGGCGGTGCCTCTTTCCGACCGGCAAGGAGCGGTGGGTAGATGCTTATGCTGTAAGCTTCTTCCGGCAAGCTGCTACCATCAGATGTCCTGTTCCGTCGGACGTTTCCCTGTCCCTCGAGGGCCCACTGCTTGTGGAGCTTCAGGCCGATTCGCCTTATGCCGGCGCTGAAGCCTGGAAGATTGCGGCGGACGTCTGTGCGAAGCTGTCCGAAGGGGCTGGTGCGGAAGCTCCGGATGCGGTAGTTGCTGAGGATGCTGCCGACGCGGCTGCGCGACTGGCGATTTGCGTCCAGCCTGCATGGGACATGCCCGACTTGGAAAGGAGCGTGCCGCGGCTGATTGAGACCTTCCTGCGTTACTACCAACTGCTTGGTGCTGACAGCTTTACCTTCTACGACTTCGACGGGTCCTTCGCTAGCCACCCCGAGATTGTGGGCCTGCTTGCTACAGGCAAGCTGAAGTACTTCCCTCGCTTCATGAAAGCTGTCTCGGAGCTTTTGGAAGACGCCTGGAATCTGAAGCTTGTGAAAGGGCAAACAGGTTCTCGAGCCAGCTTTATTCAGGAGCTTACCTTGAACCATTGCGTGTTGAACTACCGGAGCGCGGCGGACTTCGTCCTGCTGGCCGACAAGGACGTGTTCCTGGCGTTTGGTCCAAGCATACCCGTTTTTCCACAGGCGCGGGGATGTTGGCGCGATGCCGGAACCACTTCAACCTGTTGTTCCGGCACAGGCCCACATGCAAGGGGCAGGGTCCATTTTCATGGCAAGACCCCGTGCTGGGAGGGATCACGGACTTTTTCGAAATGCTGCTTGGAGTACATGCCCGAAGCCCCCATGCCCAGTCCCTGGCCGGAGTTTTTGAAGAGTCGCTCGCCAGAGTTCTGGCGGGCTGTTGGCACCATCGCCCTGGGCGTCTGTGAGTTTGCCGTGCCTTCGTCTCTGAACACCTCGCAAACAGGATCGGGGTGGTCATTCTCCTCCCACATCTGGCGCCCGAAAAGTTGTGAGTCTCAGTATTATCATTTGGTCAGCCCGTGGCGCTTCATGTCCCAGAACTCCGAGTGGGTAAGATTGAGGCCGGGGAGTGTGAGATACTACGTGGACAGTGAGGCTGCCCGTGCCATGCACCTCGTGAATCTTCACAAGGTCAGGTGCACCGAGCAACGAAACGACTACGGCAATGGGAGGCAGCCGTGCAACTGGCCGGATTTTGGCCTGCGCTGGTCGCTGCCCGGCTTGCCAGGCTCAGATCGCTCAACAGCTCTAAACTTCACATCCTGAACACCGAGAAGCACCGAGAAGCTCAGGGCTCGGGTGGGTTTGCGACGCGAGTGGAAAGCCCGACGGGACACACACCCACACAGTGGCCCACACATCTAAGCCCGACCTTTACCCACAGTACCCGTGAATCTTCAACAAGGACAAAGCGATCTGGCCCCGCGAGGTTGCAGGTTTCGTGATACTCAGAGATATTGGGTCGAGGCTTTCGGCTTTCACTACCTTTAACAGCCCCTTTTAGGGATTTCCGGCTTTGGGTTTACGTTCACTTGGGGGGTTGAGGGTTTAGGGTTCTTCCTTTCATCTCAGAGGCCATGCGATTTGGGTCACGGGGTCTATGCTGCGACGCAGTTTGCAGCTTGACAAGTCAAACCTTGACTAGCTGGGAAGTAAGTCCCCGTTCCAGCTCCCTCAACGCTCTCCGCTCTCCCGACACAGTAGTCCTCAAAACTCGGTGCAAACTCCCTGAACCCCCCAAACTTCACAGACTCTTGTTTGTTGGCTTAATCGCAGGGCTTGAGATTCAGGATTTGAGCTTGTGTCGACATGAGTCATGAGCATTTGCCTCTGAACCATTTAAAACAGAACGTGCTCCACGTGCAACCCCGGATGTTTGCTCAAAGGTGCTGCTTCAGAAGCCTGAATTCTAAAAGCCTCAACCCCCGAACTTCTAGACCATCCAGTCTAAGCCGTCGACCACGTTGTGGGAGAAATGTTTCCGATACGGAGGTGCGTCGGGAATCGTTCGGTTTGATTCTGTCGTTGGGAATAGATTCACAGACCAGACTCTCCCCATGCCACGTCTGCTCCTGGTTTGGGTCTTCTCGGTCTGCAGTTGGGGCGGAAATGCCCTCCTTCAGCCGGTTGCACCGGGAATGAGAGTGCAAAAGGTCAATACGTGCAGCAATGAGTTTCCAGGCACTCTTATGCATCAGTCGGTTCAGAAGGCCAAGCACCTTTGTACTTGTCGAGTACTTGGTACTTGGGGCAACGTGGTAACTTCATTCGCGCCAGAAAGCCTCATGACCCGAGCGCAATCAGACACAGCATTTTGGCATTATCCTTGGCTCCATCATACTCACATGGACTACGTGTCTTACCTGTTGCACACTCTGGGGAACGATGACGCGGAAGCTGGAACTCAAAGGGAGCTTGCATGTTCGCTGCTAGTGCAGTGTGTTCTCATCTTCAAGACTCTTGTCGTCCTGATTGGGCATGACTCATGGGAGCTGGCGTGGACCGACTTCCGGCATGTAGTTGAGGAGTTCATTGACGCGACATCGCCACTGTCACAGAAGTCTGCGGAGTTGATGGGCCATATCGCTTCGGTGCTCTTGACTGACATTCCCAATGAGATGACTTTGAGCATATTTGGGATGCTGCAGTGGCTCAGTACAGTGCTCAACTTTCCAAAGCGTGGAGGGAAGAGGCGTGTGGCTCAAAGCACACGCCCTTGCTTACCTGCAAAGAGCCAGGCATGGAACCACACTTTGAAAGAAGGCAAATGGCGCATTCTCTTGGAGGAGCTTGTGTCCTGTCTCATCAAGCAACAGCTATATACCAGGGGCAGCATATCGAGGCCGCTGGCGTGGGTCCTGGATCTGGGCCGGCGCTACTGGGCACCGCTCCACGTGGCCATGGCCGAGGCGGCCGGAACGGAGCCTTACCTGCTTCCCTTTCCCAGCGCCCTGCAGCCGCGGCCGCCAGCGCACCGAGATCCTCGGCGCTTGCCGCTGGCGGAGCTGTGCGCCACCGGGAGGCAGCAACGCCAGCTTCAAAGGTCCGCTGTCGGAGGAGTGCCACTGCCAACGGAGAGCCCCATGGTCTCTGACTCTGCCTACCAGCGGGATGGCACCCGCCTTACTGTGGTCACAGTGGCTACGGGCTTGCCGAACAGCGCTGACTCTGAGAGACCTTCGTCAGATGGGTTGGCGTACCTTCTCGACTTCCTGATTTACGTGGAGAGGCCTCGTGGTGAATGCATCCGTCGGGGTCGCTGTGGTGACAAGAATCGGACGGTCTACACTTGCGGTCCGCACGCAGCCATCTTACCTGAAGTGTCCCTGAGAAAGTGGCGGTGCCTCTTTCCGACCGGCAAGGAGCGGTGGGTAGATGCTTATGCTGTAAGCTTCTTCCGGCAAGCTGCTACAATCAGATGCCCTGTTCCGTCGGACGTTTCCCTGTCCCTCGAGGGCCCACTGCTTGTGGAGCTTCAGGCCGATTCACCTTATGCCGGCGCTGAAGCCTGGAAGATTGCGGCGGACGTCTGTGCGAAGCTGTCCGAAGGGGCTGGTGCGGAAGCTCCGGATGCGGTAGTTGCTGAGGATGCTGCGGACGCGGCCGCGCGACTGGCGATTTGCGTCCAGCCTGCATGGGACATGCCCGACTTGGAAAGGAGCGTGCCGCGGCTGATTGAGACCTTCCTGCGTTACTACCAACTGCTTGGTGCTGACAGCTTTACCTTCTACGACTTCGACGGGTCCTTCGCTAGCCACCCCGAGATTGTGGGCCTGCTTGCTACAGGCAAGCTGAAGTACTTCCCTCGCTTCATGAAAGCTGTCTCGGAGCTTTTGGAAGACGCCTGGAATCTGAAGCTTGTGAAAGGGCAAACAGGTTCTCGAGCCAGCTTTATTCAGGAGCTTACCTTGAACCATTGCGTGTTGAACTACCGGAGCGCGGCGGACTTCGTCCTGCTGGCCGACAAGGACGTGTTCCTGGCGTTTGGTCCAAGCATACCCGTTTTTCCACAGGCGCGGGGATGTTGGCGCGATGCCGGAACCACTTCAACCTGTTGTTCCGGCACAGGCCCACATGCAAGGGGCAGGGTTCATTTTCATGGCAAGACCCCGTGCTGGGAGGGCTCACGGACTTTTTCGAAATGCTGCTTGGAGTACATGCCCGAAGCCCCCATGCCCAGTCCCTGGCCGGAGTTTTTGAAGAGTCGCTCGCCAGAGTTCTGGCGGGCTGTTGGCACCATCGCCCTGGGCGTCTGTGAGTTTGCCGTGCCTTCGTCTCTGAACACCTCGCAAACAGGATCGGGGTGGTCATTCTCCTCCCACATCTGGCGCCCGAAAAGTTGTGAGTCTCAGTATTATCATTTGGTCAGCCCGTGGCGCTTCATGTCCCAGAACTCCGAGTGGGTAAGATTGAGGCCGGGGAGTGTGAGATACTACGTGGACAGTGAGGCTGCCCGTGCCATGCACCTCGTGAATCTTCACAAGGTCAGGTGCACCGAGCAACGAAACGACTACGGCAATGGGAGGCAGCCGTGCAACTGGCCGGACTTTGGCCTGCGCTGGTCGCTGCCCGGCTTGCCAGATTGAGGAGGCATCCTCAAGAGAGCTCAGAGACCTCATCTCCTACACGGTGAAACCAGAGAGGGCCCACAATGTCAACCTGCAGCGCAAGCACCAGAGATTCCCTTGAATGATGCGGACGTGATCCGATGCTGGTGTCAGATGCGCAGTCTCTGAATGTAAAAAAGGAGGCTCTTCCTGGTCACGATTCCTAAGGCGTGTTTTTGAGAGTGCACGGCGTGTCTTCAAGGTCATGTGCGGTGAATCCTGCTGGCATCACATATGATCAACCACTCCCAGCCGTGCATCTCTTGCGGTTGCATTGCCTCGAAGCTAGGCTCATTGGGAGAAGGTGCTTGGAAGCTGCCGCGACGCTGCAACCGGACGTTGTACTTGGTTTGGTCAGATCCTTTGCAGATCCCTTGCAGGTGCTCTGCGCGCTGTTCAATATGGCCTTGGTCTTCTGTACCTTTCTGTCAGGAGCTGTAGCTATGATCGACCTGCTTGCCATACATGGCAAGCGACCTCGCCCTGCTGTGTTGCGCCCTTCAAAAGAAGTCTTCCTCACAGAGGGCCAAGCACCGAAGCACCAACGTGTAGTGCTGTTCCAGGTCTCCGCAGCCCCTGAAAGCACCTGACCCCACAAGCCCTCCCTTCAAAGTCCTCTGCTTTTCCTGGGCTGCTGAGGGGCTGGGAGCTTTGGATTGTTTAGGATGCCTGGGATGTAAAATGATGTAAACAGCATCTGGCTTTGGTACATGAGGATGTGCTTTGGGATTGTTGGGATTGCGCTGCCTTGTGACGTCAGCAAGGGGGTCGGCAAAACTTGCACTTCTCTGGAACAGTCGCACGGGGATCTCGTGTTGACAGCAGCTGCTCTGCGTCACGACACGCTTGCCGCACGCATGCGGGACGCTGCCACGCTGTCACTGGCTCCAGGTTCCCTGAGTTTCGAAGCTAAAAAGCCAGCTGACAGTGCCAGATGCATGTTGCTCCATGTTTTCGCTGTTGACGTGTTGACCCCGAGCCATCCAAGCCATGAGCCGATGTGAGATGGGGCTGCTTGGAACTCGATTCTATTCCGGGTCTGTGCTGTGATCTTGTGCACCTTCGTGTGACCTCATGTTGCCGCCTGAAGCTCCATGGGTCTTTGCCAAGTGTAGCGAGACTCTGGAGCACCAACTTGTTTTTTTTGGAGGTGCCTTAAATCCGGCCCTCACCCAGGCAACTCTGTGTCGCAGACCTCTCCCTGTTGGTGGTGTGCCTTGGTTTCAGCTAGCGGCGTTGTTCGTGGCTGCAAGCGTTTGCTAGGATGCCAGGAACTTGCAAGTAGACCAAAACATGCACTCTCCTCCGTGTACGCCGTGCGGATTTACACTAGACGAGTCCAAGGGCATTCGGGGTTTTCGGGGTTTCAGGCTTGCCGGTTTTTCGACGCAGATGTTCCCCAAATGTACGATCGAAGGACTATTGAGAGCTCACGCTGGAGTGTGTTCAGGCTTCAAGGTTGACACCCGTGGTTTCCTTGAAAAGGGTTGCGCAAAAAGTTTCCGCGTTGAGCGCTCCATCCTCCACGGCGTTTGATGCACCTCTCGGAGATGGAAGTGGTGGTAAAATGCAGTACTCTGCAGCAGAGCCTGAAAAGCTAACCCTCAAGAATGGTTTCAGAAGGGGCTGAGGCTGAGACAAGAAGCCCCAACTTCCTAACCCTAAACCCTAAACCCTAAACCCTAAACCCTAAACCCTAAACCCTAAACCCTAAACCCTAAACCCGAAACCCTAAACCCCCAAGCCTAAAGCCTAAAGCCTAAAGCCTAAAGCCTAAACCCTAAGCCCTAAACCCTAAACCCTAAAGAAGCCACACAGAACCCTGCTGGTGGTCGGTGGGGGGAGGGCCGTTGTTGGGGTGTCCTGTTTTTTGATGGACTTCCAGTCTGTTCAAGCCAAAAACCCCAGACCCTTAACCCTAAGCCCTAATGTTGATACATGGTGTCAGTGTCATCATCGGGGGCAACAGGCCTTGTGAAATCATGGGCTGCCATGGCGGGTTCACTCGCTCCTCTGTTTCTCGCACACAGAAAGACGATGCGACATGAGTTCCACTGGCATCTGTGCATACAGTGGAGCAAGCTGTGTTATGCTTCTCATGTGTGATGAGCCGTTCGAGGCTGCAAAAGAGTGAGGAGATATCCCCTATACATCCATTTCAACACTCCTCCTTGAAGTGACCGTCAGGTCTCTTCACTTCTATACAGAAACTTCAAATCGTTCTCGTTGCATACAGCTGCCTACCTCCATTCCGACAGCAAGCACAAAATGTGCGAATTTGAATCTGCGAGGCGTTCCGAAGGCCCCAACAGTCTCTTGTGATATGCACGTGGTCACCCCCATTCGTCACATAGAACGGTCCCGGGTGCCACGTTGGAACTTCTCGCTCCACTTCTCGAATCTCGATCCTCGCAGGCTCAGCAGACATCAGCCTTGTCATTCCCATACTGCATTGGACCTGGGCATCCACCATTATCGGCCTGGTAGCGGGCGTTCGCAACCGATCATTCAACTGCTCCGCCAACTCATCTTCCACCATGTTTCGAAGCCTTTCCAGGCGCCGGCTTCTTCTTGGATCCCAGCGGCGGTCAAACCATCTCATGGTCTTACCATATGCCCATCTGAGAACTTCCCACGCAACCAGCATAGTGATGCAAGCCATCATCATGAGGATGTAGAACTCGATTGACCCATCCAACTGGAGGGAAGCTTGAGGGTTCTCGGCCTTGGATCCACACACCCAACCACACATCAAGAGGATCCTCAAGATCTTCGCCTTAAGCTCCGTTGCCAACAGCCCTTGCAGCCCCCAGAGTCGGCATAACTCTTCATGGCGATCTTTGGGCAGTGGTTTGGTTAAAAGGTCAGCCTTCTGGAACTGGCCTCTACAGTGGCAGACCTTCAAAAAGCCAAACTTTGCCTGTTCCCTCAGGTACGATGCACGGACCTTCAGGTGGCGGGTTCTCCAAGAACCCGCCCCGTCAGAGCTGAGCCCCACCGCCGCCATATTGTCGATCTGCAGCTCCAGCACATTGACCTGGATGTCGAGCTGGCGGATTACAGCCATCACTGCTCTGGCAAGTACGATACTGTCTATGGACGCAACGAGTTCGCACTCTGCGGTCGACAGAGTTACGAAACTCTGCCGACCGCTTCGCCAGGCCACCGGGCAATTGTAAAGGCAAACCAGAGTTCCGGTGTGCGACCGTCGCCCAGTCGGGGCGAACGACGAGTCGCTGAAGGCTTGCAGCGTCACGCCACCAGGCACCAGCAGCAAACCACGAGCCTTCGTCCTCTGCAGGAAGCCCAATATTCTGGATCCTATCTGGATCACCTTCTCCGGGTTCTTCAGCACATGGCTCGCCATGATCGACAAGTGGAATGCGAGGTCAGGCCTCGAACGTTGGCTTATCCAGAGCAACTCTCCAGTTATCTTTTGTGCTTCGCGGATGGCACCTGGGCTCTTGGAAGATTCTGCAGGGTTCTCCTCCTCCTCATCCATTGCCATCCATTCTCGTGGGCAAGGCACCAATCCCATCTGGGTCTTTGGCACTTCATACGCCCTCAACAGTTCAGCAATGTACGCCTCCTGGTTGATGAAGTAGCATCCAGTCTCCGTTCTCTGAATCTCACAACCCAGAAACCTGACCACTCGTCCTTCATCACATAGTTCCAACTCCGAAACCTCCCATTCTGCCTTGAATCTCTCGCCCAAGGTTTCCACCAATCTACGGTCTCCACAGATCAAAATATCGTCCACGTAGATCAAGATGGCACCGATCACCCGGTTCTCACCCGCATAGTGCACTGACCAAAGGTTCGGCTCGATGTCGCCCTGTTTGAGGACCACCTTCCGTCCATCCATGTTGACTACAAAGTCCTTCAACACCGAATCCCGGTACTGCGCCCAAAGCCGTGGACTTTGCCTCAGTCCATACAGGGCCCGTGTCAACTTCCAACGCTCTTGCTTGTTCACCACCCCCAGCAACACGAGGACATGTGGCGGTGTGACGACCACAACCTTCTCCCCCTCCTCTGTAGGCATTGGCGTAAGGAGGAACGCCCCAGTAACGTCGATGGCACCAATATACCATTTCCGTCTCCCAGATTCAACCAGGACACATCTGAGCGTCTCTCCCGCGGCACCCGAGGCAAAACAGTCTAGCAGCTGCTCATCTATCATGTTGCCACATGCCACAATCCTGGCCTTGCGTCGGTAGAGGGCCTGTGAGCCCTTCTTGGGTGGTTTGATCGTGTAGACGACCTTGGCCGGGACCACCAGCATATCGTCCATCTTGAACCGTTTCAGAAGTTCTCCCATTGTCGTCCTGTCGAACCCCTTCTTGACAACACCAAACTCCTCAAGGATGGGGTCCTTCCAAAAATCCAAATGAGCCTTGGCTTCTGCGGGATCCACGTTGTAGACCACATCTACTGGGGTTCGCATCGACTCCAGTAGCTCTTCCATTCCCTTGGTAAACTCCGGCTCTGCCTTCATGACACGAGGGTTTTCTACTCCCTTCTCGTGCAAATAGCCTTGAAGCTTCTCCAAGTCCTCCATGGCCAACTTCTCGTCCACAGCCTCCAACGTTAAGTTCCGACACTTCCGTTGTGCCATCGACAAGTCCTCCGCGCTTGGCCCTTCCAACATTTGAACTTTACGAACACCCGTCGGTTCGTCCACATGGATCTCCCATTTTCCAACAAACTCCGCATCCATCGGCTCGGTGTTGTCTTCTGGCTCCTCATCGTCCCGGTCCGTGTACTCCTCATCAGATACTTCATTGTACTGATCCGGATCCGGATCATCCGGAATTCGCTCCTCCTCATTGTCCGAATCATCATCCTCATCATCCGGATCTTCGTCGTCGTTCTCCTCCTCCTCCTCAATCGGATCTTCGGTCTCAATGGGAAACCCCAACTCCACAAGCTTGTTCAGCTCGCCTTCCGTCAGCTTCTCGAAACCAGATGGGGTATAACCAACTAGCAACCAATCATTCGCCGAGTTAGGTAGGAAGCCGTGGAATTTCTTCGGGTTGAAACCAGTGGCTCGATGTCTAATATCGTAGAAACGTCCAACACCCTGGCTTCCATCTGGCAGGACCTGTGGCATGTCACCCCGTACAGCCTCGCCCCTTGCAGGATTTGAGTCATCATCTCCAGACACCCATAGCCCGCGTTGCGATCTATCCGAGATCTCCACCACATAGTTCCAGGATCCACGCTTATTGTGGACATCGGTGTGTGGGGGAATGGCATTGCCCATGAACACTCCCAGTGTCGCCCAAGTGACTGAGCCTTCTGGTAGGTGACTGGTAGCCTTTTTGAGGTATTCGTTGAGGTACATCACGACTGCTTCTTTGTTTCGGGTCTGGACCGTAATACCTCTATTCCCACCCTGGCAGTAAGCCCCAAAGGCCTGAAAGCATCCTTCTCCCCTTCGCGTTCTCACCTTTGCCGCCACCACTAATTTCTCCAACAGCTCCAAGCGTCCTTCTTTCGAGAAGTCCTCCATGTTCAAAAGATGTTGGGCAAGGGCCTTAACTTCAGCCAGTGTTTCTCGGCTTCTACCCTGCGCACGCATCACCCGGACTGACGGGGTTGACGGCCCAACTGGTGATGTAGAAGGTGAGGATTTTGCTCGTAGCCGTCGGCGCCGCCCATCACGAGGAGCAGCTCCAGTGGGTGCGTCTCTTGCATGAGGTCTCGCATCCGCTGGCCTTGTCTTTGACCGAAGTCTCAACGCTGGTTCGACAATCAGAGGAGAGACAACATCCTTCAACGGAGGTGGTTCCACTGGTGTTCTCACATGGACGGTTTGCACATATCCACCCCCATCTTTTAGAATGCAGTGGCCTCCACGGACATCCATCGAAGGTCCCAAATACTTCCCACGTGTCCACTTTGGTCCCAGATCTTCAACCGCTCCCGTCTTATAGCGCTTGGTTTTGATGTAGCAGGGGGAGCCAAAGGGTGCCAACATAGGACTCGGCAGGCCCATCCTGTCACATCTTTGCATTGAAGCCGCCGCGTGAAGCGCCAAAGGCCAGGCTGCCTTATGCACTGCCCCAGAGTCCAGCAAGATCCGAATACGCTTCTTCAGGTACTTCACGCCTGCTTCAGCAACACCATTGGAGGCTGGGTTATCGCCTTCGGTGGTCGTAGGCAACATCCCCTTTTTCAGAATCCAATTTCTAACCATCTTGCTCCGAAGTTCACCCGCCCTATCACCATGGACTCTATGCATAGGGAAACCAAGGGCCTTCACGTCCACATAGATCCTCTGCAATGCTGGCAGGACGCTGGCGGCCTTCTTGTTCCTCATCGGCACTGCGAAGTACGCTGTCTCCAGGGCAACGGGCGTCGTGAAACCTTCCATCATCTTCTTCCAGGCCTTCTTCTCCTCCTCCTCTGATGGCATACCCTCTTCCGGCATCTCATCCTTTCCTGGTTCCACACCTGCACCAAACGGGTCTGCATCCCCCGGTTGCTCCTCCCCTTCTGAGAACTCCTCATCCTCAGCACTGGGCAAAGGAAAACCAGCTTCAGGACTTACTCCCTCCAAGCGTGGGAATCTGTATGCCCCAATCAGGAAGTACCTCAGGCTTTTCGAATCCGGAGTGACGCCCGGGTATTTCAGTGGTCCAGCAACGTCAATGCTCAGTGTATAGGCCATTGGATGAAGGGTTGACCTATGCTGCCTTCCCGTGGCTGCGTTTCTCACGCAAACAGCACAGTTGCGCTCAAACGGCTGGTGGTGGTTGAGGACATGAGTCCTCCAAGCCGCCTCACTGGCCAGCTTGGCCAGCCTTGCTCTCGTAGGGCCTTGAAGACCACACCACCTGATCACGTAGTTGGCAATGTCAGATGTAGCCATCGAGCCTCCCTCAATGCCCACCTCCTCAGCAAACTTCCTGTAAGCCCCATCGGCAGCCCAGGTGGCCCCAATCTTCATGGATGCCGGTCTCTCTAAGACCAAAGCCGTCTCGATGCGACCCCCGCTGATCTTTCTGCGGAATCTCGCCAGTGTTGCCAACAAGTTCAGGTAATGCACTTTGGCCCTAAATGGTTCATCATCACGATGTTGCACTTCGTTGAGGGTTACATCCTGCAGCACCATAGCCGAGATCTTACCCTCCAACGCAGCCCAAAGTAGCACCTTCCAAAGCTCCTCCTCTGGAATCTGACCCCTCAACCTGTCAAGGTCCAAAACGACAGCATCATGCATGCCATCCAGGGCCCAAATTGGATCTCGTCCACGCTCTAGTCGATTCCAACGAACCACCCAGGTTGAGGACCGGCAGAGGCGCTTTCGACGCCTACGATTGACCGGCAAAGTCTTGAGGCGTTCCCACGGTTCCATGTTGCCGAAGTCGTGAAGTCGGACCATCTCCTCCTCGTCTAAAGACTTCAGGAACACCGCCTTATTGACCACCTCCTTCACATACTTAACCTCCTGGGTCTCCACATATCGTTGCAACGCCGTCCACCAGCTCACAGACACATCATGCAAGTGACGAGCAGAGGCCTCGGTCGTGTCCCTTAGCTGATTCTCCAGTTCCTCAATCAGCTTGAGACCCTTCTCTTCCTCAATCTCCGGGCACCCATTTCTCAGATGTAGCTTCTCTTTCTTTCCGTCAGGGCAAACCAACCAACATCCCTCCGGCGTCCACGAAAGTGCATAACCCAGCGTGCTGATGACCTTGCCTAGGGGAACAATCGTCTGCAAACCTGGCGTCTCCGAATCGACCAGCAGGGTGCCCGCCTCAGATTGCTGCATCCTTGCCTTGCCCTCTCCAGCTAAGGTCACGTCCACGTTCTTTGTGGTCGATCTTTCCCACTCCGAAGCGCCGCGAAGAGCATGCGTGGCTCCGGAATCAAGCAAGGCCTTCCGGACTTCCATGTCATCCTTCGCCCCATCCAGTCGAAGAACTTGCAATCGGCGTATCTCGTCCAGGGCCTTCGCCATCAAACTTTTCATCTCGGTCGCTTCCTGGGCCTCAAAGGTGATGGCTTTCATAGGTCTCTGTCCGCCTGCTGGCTTCACAGACCCATCTGAGCCCATGGCTGAAGTTGCCGTAGGAGAAGTCGGCGTTAGATCATGCCCAGCATCACCCCCAGCTTCCCTCTCCTTTCGCTTCGCTCCAGGTACCATACAATCTTTGGCTCGGTGGGTCGTGGCTCCACATGCCAGACACTTCGACTTCTTCTCCTCCTTCGTGAGGCCGGCCATCGAATGCTTGTAGCGGCACTTATTCCCTCGACTGCAGCCTTTGTCCTTCAGAAAGAACCTGCATACATCTGTGGTAGTAGATGACGACGGTGTCTTTGGCGTTTGATCCGAACCACCATGAGCACTTGAAGCCGCCACCAATCCCTTGACCACAGGCAGCGTCGTAGTGGATGAAGAAGGCTCTCTCGCTGTGGTCCTAGCATGGGTCTCCAGCTCAGCCAAAAGGTGCTGGTGATACTGCAGCACCGTTGACGGTTGTGGGTTATTGTCGACTTGCAATGACGCTCTCACCAGAGACACCCTGAAGGCCAGCTCACTGTCTGATCGTATCACCCGCTGCGTCAAGTTGTCGAGGCCCTTCATCAGGATGGATGCGTCGGGCTCCACGATGCCCAACGTTCTTGCTCTCTTCAACCACAACAACCATCTACGAAGCCCTTGAGCCGCCTGAGAGGAAGTCGTACTTTCTCCTGGCGATTCCAAGTTCTTGAGGATCAAGGATTTTTCCTGCTTGTTGCCCGGCTGGTACACCGTGAGAATCCTACATACCACACCCATTGCCGTCATGTCGCCATGAGTGATGATGTCCCGCCTCAAGGAATCTGGAATCGCCGAAAGCAGCATGGCCACCGCCCTCCTTTCTACTCTCGACCACTCCGGCTTCTGCAGCTGTCCTTCCGCTACTGGTTTCAACTGCAATCTCTGCAATGGGCTTGCCGACGCATACTCCTGGTACCACACCGAAGACTGGCGCAATGTCTCACCCCACCACAGTCCCGACGTGTCAGAGATGTCCTCAAGGATTGGACCGATATGGGTCATCCAATGCACCATATCGATGGCTGCCGTCTCTGGATCATACTCCGGAAGTTTTGGAAGCTCCTGCGCCCCCGGCTTAACGGCTTCAGGCTGACCAGTTTTCGTAGGGCTTTGGGTCTTCTTCAACAACTCCTCAATCCCTCGTGCCATGGAGAGTAGCACCCGATCTGTAGTGGTCATAGTCGGTGCCGCACCTTCACCTCCAGCATGTTCAGGACCTGTCGCATTGCGTGGGGGAGATTGTGTTCTTCCCAAACCTAGGAGATCACGAAGAGAACGTCCAAGCTGCGACTCATTAGCCAGACCAGTGTTTGCCCTGTGTTGATCACTATCATTATGAGGACCAGGTAGTGCGTGTGATTGCTCCGGTAGTCCACGAGATTGAACTTGCCCTAGGCGTACTGATTGGCTACCCACACCCCCTTGACCCAACGATCCCATAACCGCTTGCCCAGGTAGTGCGTGTGATTGCTCAGGTAGCCCATGAGATTGAACTTGCCCTAGGCGTACTGACTGGCTACCCACACCCCCTTGACCCAACGATCCCATAACCGCTTGTCCAGGTAGTGCGCGTGATTGCTCTGGTAGTCCATGAGATTGAACTTCCAGTCTCGAATTGTCCCGGGCCTCTTGACCCAAGATTCCAAGCGGATTTCCTTCGATCCGTATCGAATCCCCCATCATTGCGCCCGAACCAGTGGCCACCAAACGTCCACCCGCTCCAGCATGCACATGACTTGTCGGGTTAAGTCCAACTGGACCATGACCTGGGATGGGTAAAGCCGTCCATCCCGCATCTCGGCCTTCATTTCTCTCAATACCCGCATGCCCATCAAGACCTCCATCATCTTGCCCAGTCATGGAAAAAACTGGTACCCCATCTGGAATGCCCTCCAATTCTCCACCCGTCTTACGAAGTCGCTCCCTCTCCAACTGCTGTCTCATGCTCTGAGCCTGCGCCAAAGCACTCTCAGCTCTCAACCTTTCCTCCTGCAGTTGTCCCAGCACCCCACTCAGTTGGCGTCGGACTTCAGCTTGGACATCTTCCCGATGCACGGAATCCGAGGTGCCTTCAGAGGTTGTATAGGGCTGTGGGTTGGCACCTGGAGGAGGTCCTTGTAGAAGAGAGGAAACATTCTGCAGATGCTGACTGGTGTTCGGGGGCATTAAGGACGTACCCATTGACGATGCCGTCCAAGTAGCTCCCTCATGGGGTCTGCTCGCCGTCGGGCTCCAGCTTGCTCTCACCTCCTGGTGAACCAATGCCTGAGCACTTCCAGCTGTTCCTGACACAGCTGTCGACGCCCTATGAAAAAACTCTCCCAAACGCATCATCCATTGCAGTGGTGACGCTTGCTCGCCCTGTCGGACACGCCCCGTTGGTCGTATCGCATCGCTCGCGCCCGAGTCCGGTGGTGGATCCAGTAAAAGCGACGACCCTGGGAGCGGTGACGGAGCCAGGTCTCCGCTTGCACTGACAGGTCCCGTTGGCAAAACCAATGGCGAAGAGGCGTCATTGTCCTCCCTTCCACGGTCAGCAGCTGACGGTGCTAGTCTCATTGGTCTAGCATCAGCGTGATGCCTCAGATCAGCACTTGCCGGTCCAATACCATTCATAACGGGCCTCTCAACCTGTCCTGCATCTTGCCGAGTCCCAACAACCGCATCCAAATCAGCAGAGTGATTCAAAGGCGAGCCAGCAGCAACTTGGGCTGTCATAACCTGTTGATACATGGTGTCAGTGTCATCATCGGGGGCAACAGGCCTTGTGAAATCATGGGCTGCCATGGCGGGTTCACTCGCTCCTCTGTTTCTCGCACACAGAAAGACGATGCGACATGAGTTCCACTGGCATCTGTGCATACAGTGGAGCAAGCTGTGTTATGCTTCTCATGTGTGATGAGCCGTTCGAGGCTGCAAAAGAGTGAGGAGATATCCCCTATACATCCATTTCAACACCTAAACCCTAAACCCTAAAACCCTAAACCCTGCAAGTTTCCTTTAACAGGGGGGGACTGAGGGTGTGTTGAAAGTTCTCCAGTGCCGCCGAGGTTGCAGGTGGCAGTCCGCAGGCCAGAGACGGCAAGATGTGACATCAACTGTAGAACTGGGCGATTCGGCTTGGGGCACCCTAAACCCTAAACCCTAAACCCCAAAACCCTAAACCCTAAACTTAGGACCTTAGGATCTTAGGACCTTAGGATCTTAGGATCTTAGGATCTTAGGATCTTAGGATCTTAGGACCTTAGGACGTAGGCTGGATTCGAGGGTTTTTTTGGGGGTTGTTAGCGTTTCTGCTGCTCGATGAAGTTCAGGGTTGAATTAGTGAGGCATAGCGCTATGGGATATGTTTTTAGGAAGCCCTGAGTAGGTTGCACCGTTCTGTGCTCTCTGCATCGCCACAGGTCCCTGACTCCATGAGTGGAACGCCCGTAGTGCGCCACTCTCCAAACATCAAGCTCAGGCCACAAGAAGCACATCCCCTAAACCCTAAACCCTAAGACCTAAGGCCCAAGCCCTAAGCCCCTAAGCCCCTAAGCCCCTAAGCCCCTAAGCCCAAACTCAGTAAGCTTCGAGGATTCTAAAGGCCAAACCTTGAAAGCCCCAACCCGGGAGGCGGCTGGGCATGTCACAACCTTGCCACTTGCCGCTGTCTCCTCCAGAGCCGTGATCGACACCTTGCTGCAAGCCCTAAAGTAGTTCACAGGTTCAGGGAAGCCCACAAATATCATCCCAACGCGTATGAGCCATCAAAGCTGAAGGGGCAGAATCTGTGGGGAGACGGAGATGGAGAGGGGGGTCTTGGACCCGGCTTCAGGTTGGAACGCCCGAGGTTCTTGATCTTTGTTCAGGATTTCAGGGGCAGAAGGCATCATTGCGTCCAACACCCCAAATCCCAAGCCACCTGAAACCTTGAACCCTTGTGTAGCACGTGTATGGCCTTAGTATTGTGTGTGTTTGTGTGTGTGTGTGTGTGTGTGTTGTGTGGGCCTGCGTACCCTGAGGGTTTCACCTCTGAGTCGACAGCTTTTGCTCCAATCCTCAAGAAGAGATCCATCATTTCAGTCAGTCAATCATTCCAATCATCGCCATCACTGTCGTTATTGTTGTCCCTATGACGATCATTGTCATTGTCACTTATCATCATTGTCAGTATCGGTATCACCATCATGATCATAATCATCAACATCATCATCATCATCATCACCACCACTACTGCTGCTACTACTACTACTACTCCTACTACTCCTACTGCTACTGCTACTGCTACTACTACTACTTCTACTACTACTCCTACTACTATACTACTACTACTACTACTATACTACTACTATACTACTACTACTACTACTACTACTACTACTACTACTACTACTACTACTACTACTACTACTACTGCTGCTGCTACTACTACTACTACTACTACTACTACTATACTACTACTACTACTACTACTACTACTACTACTACTACTACTACTACTACTACTACTACTACTACTACTACTACTACTACTACTACAGCTGCAGTTGAAACAGCTGTGCACAGTCTGCGGAGGATGCTGAAGAGGTCTCGGCGTGGATGCGGTGCCTCGGTTCAGGAAAGAAGGATGGAAGGCTTCTTAAGACTAGCTTATGCAGTAGCGTGTGGTCCACAGGGTTAGCGCAAGTGCAGTCCTGGTGAAACTATAATCTTCGATGATTCATCCACTGCTAGAGTGGCCTGGAGCTGTGTCCTGATGGAGTGAGCTTTTAGCTGCAAACATTTCCATCAAAGTTGGGTTGGTCCGGCATGAATGAGATCCAGAGCAGAATATCTGCGAGCCCCCATGCCAGTACCGAGTCAGGCAGGCACTATCAGGTCATGCATGTTCCGCTCACGTCAAGGCACGATTCGAGACTTTCACAAGGTACCTCTTGGATCTTTTTCTGAATTACCGAGACTTCCGAGGCCGCCGGCAGGATACCAGCCGCCACTGTGGCAGACAAGGTCAGGGGTTTGGGCTCTGAAGGGATCTTGCGTATCCCTAGCTTACGGGCCTCCACTTGCATTGGCCAGATGACGTCGGCAGGATTGGAGCTTTCGAATCCTCAGCTTAATTTTGGTGATGACCTGTTCGATACAGGGTCGTTTGTGGGACGTGACAAGCAGGGGTCACCCTCTCTACGACAGCCGAAGCACCTTGTACAACAGTTTGTGAAGAGGCATGACCCAGAAGGATTTATACAGGGATTGCGCCAAGGCTGCAGGATTCAGATCCCGAAAGCAAAGCGCACCCCATGTACGACTAGACATGGGAGGAATATCCTTATGAAGTCCTTTGTGACCCATGATGACAAGAAGGTGTTCTAGAGCTCGAGTGTGTATGGTTTCAGGGTTTAGAGCTTTGAGCTTGAGCTCCAGGACGCTTTAAGCCGAGCAGGGGCCTGCCTTCCCGGAACGGCGAACGGGTCCCAAAAAGTTTACAACTGCCGTTGTCGTAGCAGGAGTGGCGGCGGTGTAGCATGGTGAAGCTCGTCTTGCTGTCTTCCGTTGACCACGTTTTCACGGTCGCATCTTGGGGCATCTTTGGCTCACCTTATCATGCCTCCAAAGCCATAGGGTCGCGAGCCCCACCTGTGAGGCCATTCCAGAAATCGGCACGTGAGTCGTCAACCTGCTTGGGGCTTAACCGGCTTGGACTTCCCACAGCGTGGTTCAGCCACAGTCCATTCCTGTGCATGGTCGGGACATTGCATGAAGCAAGTTCTCTCGCTCCTTTCCAGCATCCAAGGCTTAGTGGCAGCAGGACGCCACTACTTTCAGTTCCCGCGGGCAGCTGGCATCGGCGTCAGGCACGGTGAACGATGTCAAGCACAGGGCTCGGACCCCCAACATGTTGGGAGGCGGCTGGATGTCTCTCTCGACCAGTCACTGTTCAACCATCTTGGAGCGATGGATGCAACTGCTTAAGCACACTATGTATGGAAACTACCAACATGATTCTGCGACCCAAGCATGTGGGAAGCCCTGCTCGTGCAGGCCTTTGAACTGATCGGCACGTGGGGTGGGTTGACGTGCGGCACCTAAAGGTTTCGGGGGTGTGTGTCTGGGGTGGAGGGCGGTCCGATTTGCTTTTACTTGTTCCGTGTTCAATCTTTGGAGTGCTTGGCTCAAGAGTTTGATTTCGGGCTTGGGATTTGCATCTGAGGTGCTCTCGGCTTCCAGCCTTAGGTTTTTCGTTCAGCCTAACCTTGAGCAGTAGTAGGGGGCCTTCGCCACCACAGAGAGGACATTTTGGGACCTGTGGCAACTCAGGTCTATGGAATGGTGCAGAAGATAGCTCAGCGCGATGTCGAGGAGCTTCTGGCTCTTCTCCGGGAGTTGGGCCGATGGGGGCCCGTTGGCATTCAAGGGCGCCGTCGTCTGGCTGTCCAAGTCTAAGCACGCCCGCTTTTGCCGCCCAGTGCTGGCCGCCATCGTTTCGAGAGATGCTGGGTCCTGGCCGGTGAAGCGGACGCGGAGAGCCTCAGGAAAGTCATCCATCACGACGCAGGCGTGGGCTGTCATTTCGCTGCTGTTGCTTCAGTTCCATGGGTCTGTCCAGTGGTACATTACGTCGACAGCCTCCCTCTCCGTTTACGGTCTCGTGTTCCTGTGCATCCGTCTCACGACTCACGGTCCGTTGCCATGTCTGCAGGAGGTTTGGCGCGACTGACGTGATTGAGAAGGTGCTGATGGGTCCAAGCTTTCCTGCTTTGTTTGAGACTTCACGGTGTCGGTTCCGGTGCTTTAGATCCGAGAGCGAGCACAGATAGCTCACCATGCAGCGGACCCTCACCATCGACCTCGGGCCCTTTCGTAACAGTAGTCATCGTTGTCTGAGACGTAGTTCTACAGCCGTGGGCAAAGCAACAGTGACCGCTTGAACCGTAACGGGGTTGCAGTATCATGGCTTCCGGAGGACTGCTTCTGTGCTACTGTCCCCTAAGTTTCGGCTCCCGCCGCGTTTCCGGTTCGAGTCGTGGATGTTACCACACCGAGCGCAGGTTGCGAGGCGTCTCTTCCCTCTACTGGCACAGACTGCCGCGGAGATCGGATCACTTCTGCTGCTGGGAGACTCCTCCACCCACTTGGGGGCCGCATGTCCTGAATTGGTGGGGTTTGAAGGGTTGGAAGGGTTGGAAGTTTTTTTCTTTCCACACCCTGCAAGTCTTGCCTGCTAGCACTGAGTCGCTACTTGCTGGCAGGAGGCTCCAGGACCGCAGAGCGACCGTAGGGCTGAGCCCAATGTGGGGTTTCCGACATGAGAGGGGTACCTTATTGGGTCCTTACTATAAGGGAATCCTACTATTTTGGGGGTCCATAATGGGGGTCCTTTGTGAATCCTACTATTTTGGAGGTCCACTATAGGGGTCCTTTATGTTCGTAAACTCCCGTAAGGCTTCAGAGAGGGGGGGCTCAAGGAGGTTTCGGGGCAGAGCTCCGGCACACGAGAGACCTGAGGTCTCGAAAGCTGACACCCCCCACGGCCAGGCCTAGGCGGTGCGCTCAGATGGCAACTGTTCCATCGCTGATGCAGGTCAAGGTCCTCAAGTTCTGAAGTTTCTACAGCCTAGGTCCTCTGGGCTTTTTAGGTTCTAAGCTGCATAAAAGCCCCAACGTGGACCAACAAAAAGCACCACAAGCATCAGTTTAGATACGAGTGTAAATGAACCGCGTGGAGTGGGGCCAATGTTCTTTTGTGGTTTTGCTGCGATTGTCTTGTTTGCAGGCAGATAACAAGCCAGATCCAACAACGCGCCCTCAGAACGGGAACGGCCAAAAACATCCTGAACCCATCGACCCCATGGACCCTGTGATCTTGGACCCCCCCCCTAAGCCCTGAAAGCCCACACGTCATCCCATCCCCACAACCCCTAAGCCCCCAACATCTCCAGCGTGTGCCATGGCTGACTTCGACCCCACCGACTATGATGGCCGGGACCCTTTGCCAGCAACAGGAGGGGGCATCGTTTGGCCGCAGGTCCTGTGTTGACTCGGGTCCGGGCGGATTAGGGGCTTTCGGGCTTTGGATGCGGAGTTCGGGGTCGGGGGCCTGGGGATGAGGCCTTGAGATGTCTGTATCATTCTGTAGCAAACAATCTCTCCACTTGCCTTTGCATGCGTGCACGCTGGTGTTCGACCCAGATGAAGCCCGGGGCCTTTACTGAGGCAGGTGATCCTCTGAACCCAGACGAGCCGGATGATGATGTGGGTGGCTCAAACCCGCAGGCCCCAGCACTTTGGAGCAGATTGCTTCGACAAGCTTTTGACATCAGCTCCGGTTGATTGCGGACTCGCACAGCCCCTGCTGAGTTCAATGCACGAAGATGACAGCCGGACAGCCTGACAGCCGAAAGCTCAAGCCCCTACAGTGTGCGCCAACTACAATTCGTGCATCGCAGGACACTCCCCAGTTGAAGGACGCAGTGCTCTTTGTCATCGATGCCTCCAGCAAGGAGCTCCCTGCTCCTCCCTAAAGTTTACCTGAAGCTAGTCACGCGATGGAGGTGACCACATTCCTGTCAGCTAAAGCGCAAGAAACGGGCGAGAAGGAGGAGGCCACTCAGCCGAACCGCTCATCCGACATCCCTGAAGTACTCCGAAGCTGCGAGGACTGCCTGAAGCCACTGAAGCCCGGGGGCCGCTGCCTGCTGGCAGCGACCCGGACTCAAGTGCCCACTCTGGCATTGTAGGCTTAGAGTACCGTAGGGTTTCTGGAATTTCTGGAATCTTTCGATCTTTTGGGGCTTCAGAAGAAGGTAGGCAAAGGTGTTGCAGCCCCCTCGAACTGCTTTCCCCCAAGCTCTCAAACCCACAAAGGCCACCGAAGCCCTGAACCCGTTAGGGTTTAGGGCAGAGCCCCTGAACACCTTTGGGCCCCCCTCCATGAACATCCCTTCTGCAAGAAGGCTCTCACGGTTTTTAGGGTCTCAACCCTAACCCTAACCCCTAAACCCTAAACCCTAAACCCTAAACCCGAAACCCGAAACCCTAAACCCTAAACCCTGAACCCTGAACCCTCAACCCTAAACCCTAAACCCTGAACCCTAAACCCTAACCCTAAACCCTAATTAAACCCTAATTAAACTGACGGTCCGAAGATCCGCCAGGCTCCCCTACCCCGATTCCAGTAGCCATTGCTGCGAGCGATGTGACGTGTCTTCCCTTTTCCAACGCACAACCAAGCTGCTGTGAGTGTTGCCTATCGGCATGCTGTGGTTTTGCATGCTCGTGCCCATGCCTGTACTTCGAGCCTCGTGGGCTCCGGCGCCGGAGGTTTTCTCCAATCGGCACACCTTGGCTGCATGGGGCTTCATCACCCCTCCTTGAGCATGCCGTTAGGCCTTGCTCACATCCATAACCCACTTTTACATGGGCTATAGGCATTTCCATGCCCTCCAGGCTATGGAAGAAATAACTTCTGTACATCATGGCACTCATCCCGTTCGAGCTTGCCGAAGTCGCCGTCCTTGATCCGGGTAGAGCGAGTTCCCACCACCATCTCTGCAGCAGGAGCAAAGCGTCCGTTGGGTCGTTGAGGCCACGTTCCTCAATCCCCAGCAGTCTCTGTAGCGATGATAGCAATCACCGCTGGTTGCCAGGAAGAGCGGCCCCTCGAACGGAACTTCCACAATCTGGGGAACTCTCACCACTTCCTTTTCAGGCTCGAAGTTCGTCTGGGCCTCTGCATCCCTCTTCATTGGTCTCGTCGAAGTGGTTGTAGAGCTCGATGTCGAAGTAGTCACCCCCTTTTCATCACGTGGGAGGTGCTTTGTTGCCAGAGCTTGAAGCCTTTCTTCTTCTCCAGCTGTGCGATTTCGGGCCAAAAGCGCCAAAATCTCCCGATGCTCATCCTTCTCTTTTGCCTTCACGCTCAAGGCTTTCAGGACCACCACTTGCTTTGCCGATCCTTTCACACATTCCCAGGCTGCAATGAGGGCGATGGCGACCACCAGAAACATCATCCACATGTCCCAGTCAGACTCCAGTGCCTCCTTCACGTTCGATCCCGCCTGGGCCTCACCCTTAACCCCACACACTAAACCACAAGAAGTCATTAGCTGCATCACCCTTTCCAGAGTCCTAGCAAGCTTGCTCGTTACCTGCTTGTTGCTAGCTGCTGCTTCTTCTGCTGGTGCCTGGTGCGGGTGCTTGTCCTCCTCCTTGACGATGACGGCTGCCTTAACTTCCCGAGCTCGCCTCAGACCCCACTCCTCCATGATCTGCGACATTCTTGATGCAGCGACCGGCTTGGTGAGGACGTCGGCCAACTGATGTAGCCCCGGCTGATGTTCCAACACCAGGGTGGAGTTCATCACCTGCTCACGAATCCAGTGATAGCTGTCGGGAAGATGTTGAGGTCATTCAGGGTCGTTTCCACCGCCTTGAGCATCTGTGCCCCTTCCGTTATTGCAATGACCTCCGACTCCGCTGAGGATAGGGTGATCATACTTTGCCTCCCCGATTTCCACGCCACAACCACCCCTCTCCACACCACAAGGTATCCGCTATGTGAGCGAGTGCCTTGCGGGCTGAAGCTGGCGTCCGTGTACAGGACGAGGTCTCCAGGGTTCTCGACCACCTTGGGATAGTGGATCTTCGCATCGATGGAGTCCTTGACGTAGTTCAGCATTTTCTTTCCCAGCTCCACCGCTCGCCCAGGGTCCTTCGAGACCGTCGAAGACATCACTGCCATGGCATACGACAAATCGGGTCTGGACCTTTGCGAGGCCCATAGCAGCTCACCGCAACGTTGTTGGGCCTCCTTGAGCTTCACGGGATCCACCTGCGATGATTTGTCACTAGGGCTCTCGTCCACAACCGCAGCATCCTTTGCAATTGGGATCTTGCTGTGGCCATTCACCTGGTGGATTCTAAGAAGCTCCTCCAAGTAGCCCTGCTGTCCCACACAGAACTCACCCTCCTCATTCACGCTCAGCTCAAGACCAAGAAACCTGACAGGAGGTCCGCCGGCACGAACATCTTCCCTTCCACTAGTTTCCCAATGCTCTCCAAGCCATCCAAAGAAGCCATCCAATGTAGTAGGCGATCCCACCACAAGGATATCGCCCACATAAAAGACGACGTAGCCCATCAGCTCCTTTTCCTTTCCAGGGCTCGGCTGCATCCAGATCTTGAAAAGGTTCGCATCGGTCTTTGCCATCTCCAACCAGCATTCTCGGCCTTCATCATCATGCCACTTTGCCTCCTTGGCCACAGAATTGCGGAATACTGTCCACCACTTTGGTGACTTCTTGAATCCGTACACTGCAGCATCAATGGCCCATAGCTCGCCCTCTTCAGCCAGCCCGATTTTGATGGCTGCCCTCGGAGGCTCCATCGCGTACTGTCCCTTCCCATCTCCTTGTTCCAAAGGGGCAGTCAGGAATGCATTCTTGATGTCGTCGGTGGCGGCGTTCCACTTCTTGTAGTTGGCCTCGGCGAGAACGGTTCGCACAGCATCTATTGATGCTCCCGCAGCATAGAGATCCCCAAAACCATTTGGGCCCTCCTCCTCGAAGTTCCCACATGCCACGGCTCGTACTCGTCGTCGGAACAGACCATCTGCCTCTTTACTTGGTGGCTTCGCTGTGTAGACTAGCTTGGAGGGAACGATGACTGCATTCGTCCTTTCTCGAAACTGCTTCGCCTCTTTTCCTTTCAAGCGCCTAATCGCCTTCATGTCCACCATCGCATTGATCTCCTTTTCCAAAGCTCCCTTCCAGGACGACAAGTTCCTCGAAGCTTCTCGGGGATCACAGGTGTGGACCACTTGCAAAGGGGTTTTCAAGGCTTGCAGGATCTCCTCCAAGTTGTCAGTGTAAAGCTCTTGAACATTGGCCTTTTTCACCATAGGCTCCACCACTGCAGGAACGTCCACCTCCACGAAGTAGGCCTCTGCTTGGTCTAGAGCCTCGAAGGAAGGCTCCTCCACTCTCATCGTCGCCAAATGTGGTTCACCAGGGTCTTCCGGTCCATTTCTTCTCATTGGGATTTGCACCAGTGGTCTAGGAGGGTCCATTGGTACAACTCGTCTGACTTCCCAAAACAAGATGAACTGCTCCTTCTGAAGGATCCGGTTGTTGATTCTCGCCACGGTGATCCTTTCGCCTTCCAGGTCGCCATTCTCGTAGCTCCCAACCAGGTCCACGGAGTGAATCGCCAAGACTCTCGCAAGGTGAAGAAGACTCCCATCGTTGGCTACCGTCAGAACATCAGGCTCTTCGACCCAATCTCGCTCCAGGTCTTGAAAGATTGTGCTGGGAATCCAGGTGTCCGGCTCGTTGTCCAGGGGGGCAATCGCTCGCCATTGCTCCTCAAGGCCCTCCGTCATGTTGTTTTCATCCCGAGTCATAACCCCTCTCCACGCGGCCCATTCTTCAGGCTCCATTCGTAGGTGGGTCACATCTACCCTCAGCATGAGGTTTGGAGGATCTTGTTGAGGTGGTGGTTGAGTGGGATCTGGACCAGTGAGCTTCTTCAGAACCACCTCCTTTTGATGTCCAGGAGAGTTGGGAGGAACGTGAAATCCAAGGTCCATCAAGGTCTCGGCGTCCCGAAAGTTCATCCTCTCAAAGTTCCGGACATTGTAGACTGCCACCACCAAGCGTTCACCCTTCCATGGCATCGTAGCATGTTTTCGCCTCGGAAGAAACTCAATTGCCCCCTTTTCCCCATTCACCTCCGGAAAGTCCACAACATGACCTTCCATCCCCTTCATGACTACCACCTCCTCGCCGTCCTTCTTCCCCTCAATCCACAGTCCTCCGTCATCGAAGCTGCTGACAGGAATGAGGTATGATGGCTTCATGGCGTCGTTGTGGCTGTCGCTATGAGGACCAGTAAGGATGTTCTTGAAGAGGGAAAAGGTCGTCCAAGTGGGATCCATATTCTCACCCGCTGGCAACTTTGAGGCAATGAACTGATTCACCACCCGTGTCGTGTATGGGTACTTCCGAGTGTTTTTCTTCAAGCCCAGGATTCCCCCATGCACAAACGCCCCAGCCGACCACAACGTTCGGGAAACACTACCCTCTTCTTTCTCCTTGTCGTTCTCGGCCAAGTTTCGTGAGGCTTGTGTTGTAGGGATCATGTCGTACAACTTGGCGATGATCTCCTCGTCTATCTCAAGCTCCTCATAGAGAACTTCTCGGGCAAATAGTTCAGGATCATTGAGGTCTTCTTCCTCCTCGCCAGGTTGTAGACCAAGGACCTTCACACTGGTCTTCTCCCGAAGTCGTCGTCTCGTTCCCTTGGATTCTTCCTCTTCAATCACCAAGGGCTCCTTGGATACTGGAGGCCCAGGATCCACCAAGTCTTTCACTGGACGAATGCTCCGGGTATGAAGGAAGGTGCCGTCGACATAGACCAAGTGACCCTCATCAACCTGGTCGCTAAGCCCCATGTATATTCCTTCCCTCCACCTCGGCTCGAACTCCATTCTCAAAGGAAGTCTCTTATCGGCGTACTTCTTCTTCTTGACGAAGACTTTGGTGCCAAAGGTTGCAGCAAGCTTCGTGACCTGGTTCAAAGTCTTGGCCCTCTCCTGAGCAGTCACTGCCATCGCTGCCATCGGCCAAAACTCCTCTCCCAAGCCCGCTGCGCCCAACATCGTCCTCGTTTTCTGCTTCACATTCTTGACTGCATTCTCGGCGAC